GGACTTGGATGGGAGCACAGGGAGCTGCATGTTGTGGGGCTGGCCTCCCACCTTCCCACCACGTGCAGCCAAGGACTCAGGCAGGAGTATTATTGGGTTGGGTGGGGCTGGCCCCACACGCTACCACCTGTGGCCAGGACTAGGGTGGGAGTGTGGGGAGCTGCATACTATGGGGTGGGTGGGGCTGGCCCTGCTCACTTCCATCATATGCAGCTCTAGGGAACTGCACACTCCTGGGACTCCAAGGACCCCCCTCCCCCCTGAAAGCCACACCCTCTCATACATCTCACCTCCCACCAGATGCCGAACACCACCCTACCCACCCACACATACACCAACTCCCTTCCACACCCCATACCCACACCATACCCCCAAACACACTCCCACCCTCCCACAGGCCCCACACACACTCCCACCCCCACCATTAGCCCACACACCCACACTCTCCCACACTACCCACCATACCCACACACATACCTCCACCCCAACCACATACCTCTGTCCACACCCCACCTACCATACCCTTATTCCCCTCACCTCCCCACAGCCTGCCACAAACACATACCCACTCCCCAACCACAGACCCTTTTACCCCCCCACGCACAATATACAAGAGTAAGACTGTATTTTGAGCTATTATGCAATCACTTCTAGGTACACTATGCAAACAAATAGAAATCAAGACAATTTTGTTAAATAAAATTAAAATAAGTTATGGTAGATTTTTTTAACTATTATTATTTTATTTTTAAGTATATGATTTGGGGGTTTTTTTCCTGGTTTCAAGATGGCAACTCCTCTACCCCCCAGAGTACTTCTGGGGCAAGAGGAGGGACTTCCAGTGGCAAAGGTCAGGGGTTAGGGGTGGGACTTCCAGACCCAAGATGGTGACCAGGGGGCAGGGCACCTGTCAAGGGGCAAGACTACCCTTGCAGCCCTTGACAGCTCACCAAAACTTAAGCAGTTTTCCAGTCAAAATAACTGCATGCCCCTGCCTTAGCCTGAAAGAATAAGTGCCCATTAACAGGATGAATTGAGAGCAGTGCCTCACTCATACCTTTCACAGCAGTAGCAGCATGCTTTAAGTGTTCCTTCCACTGCACCCCAACTATTTGTATGGCATATGAATTCTGGTTGTAATATTAAGTTGCTGTATTCTGAGTGCCTTGATATAAGTGGAATTCACGTTCCATTACTGGAAGACCTGTGTCAAGTATTTTCTAGACTTGGAGCAACAGATGATTGCCATACCCTGATGGCTGCCATTTAAGTGGAAGTACTTTGGTGTAATGGGATGGCTGAAGAAGCTTAATAAAACTAGTCCAAACATTTTTTTCTGAAATAAAGGAAGGTTCAAAGAGTGGGAAATTCCCAGCAGCAGAATTAAGAATGTACGTGTGAATGCTGCATTTCAGAAGCTGCAGACCCTGAGAGGCTGAAGGAGAACTCAAGGGAAACCACAGACATGCAAGGCCAGAGAATGTTTTTATAAAGCAGAGAGCTCTGTTTCTATTAGACTAACCAAAGTGAAACCAAGCTGATCTGAAGTGTAGAGACTTATTATTCATAAAAGTCATGAGCTGCAGGAAAAGGATCTTGAATTCTAACTTAAGCCTGGATAATACTTCAGGATTGCAAGAAAATGCAATGCGTCTAGAGGTGGCTGTATATCTTTCATGCTATCTAAAGAGTGATTATTTTGAGGAATTCTTAAAAAACCTGTGCATCTTTGCTTCAATTCTTATATATTTGATAAACTGCAAATCCAGAGCTTCAACAAGGCTAGGAGAGCTCTGGGAAAGGTTGTGCTTAAACTTCTGAAGAGTCACTACTGCTTACGGAGGCCTCAGGACACCTTGGCTGTGAGACTGAATTTCTGGGAAGGTATAATAGACAGAGAACTGGTGCCCAGAAAAGGTGCCAGAGACACCCAGGGGAAAGAGAATGCTGCAATTTGTCAAAGGGAAAATTATAAGAATGTGGGCCCATCTGTGAAGCTGAAGTACAAAGGCCTGATGAGTGTCCAGCTGCGGACTCCAGGAGTGCACAAGACAAAGCCTGGATAGGTAATATGAAGGAGAGAAAATTATTTAGAACAACAACAAAGAGGAATAGAATGGCAACTCTCCCACCCCAGTGGATAAGATAAGGTGAATGAAGTCCTCATTGAACAGCCTGTGTTAAATGCATGTTTCTTAATTTTAAATCGTTTATATAAAATGTGTAGGAAGGCATGTTTCCCCAAAAGTTCATGACTCAAAAATCAAATTGGAAAAATGTTAAAAAAGGAAAAGTTATTTAAGCCAATCTCATGACTGTTATGGGAGGGAAATTAGTTTAATATTTTGAACTTTTAAGCCTGTTTCTATAAATTTGGTGAAGTTAAGCTGCATTATTCGTGAAACACAGGGTTGTTTTACATGCAATGAGGGATTAAACCCATTTGAGTTTAATCCCTCTTTATATGTAAAACTGAACCCAAATTTAATTATGAGTTCAGAAATGCCTCTGTGGTAACTTAAATATATTGAGTTTTGGTAGTGCTGAAAGTGATGTTGCTGTGATAGCCCAGGAAATACAAGAGGCAAGAATTCTTGTGGGTGATATCTTTTATTGGACCAACTACATAGCCGATAAATGCCTGTCTTCAACTATACCAACCATGCAGTTGGTCTAATAAAAGATACCACCCACAAGAATTCTTGCCTCTTAAATTTACTAAGTAATTTAAGGAGTACAGGACCATAGGAATTTCTTCATGGGATCAAACAAGCGGTCTGTCCAGTCAAGTGACCTGGCTAAACTACTGGCTAGTACAAACTGTTTCACACACAAGCTGCAAGAAACCCTTTACAGGGTCTTGTATTTCCTTATGCCTGCAAGCATGAGAAATGTTATTCCTCCCAAAACTATGTGATTATGGAAAAATGCAGTGCATGTGAGTGCACGGTTGATCAGTGCTTCTAGGTACAGAGTGGTTGAATCCGGTACAGTATCTATGCATCTTAAATGCAATGTACGCATATGCAATACAGTATATCTACATGGAGTGCAGGTGAATATAGCGCAGTAGGTGTGGATGCAGCACAGTATGCAGCAATGACAAAAGAAAACTGGGAATCAAACTGCAAATGCAGTACAGTATATTCAGTTCTAGCGCACAGCCTTGGAACAGAAAAACCCTATGTATAGATACACTTACCTAGAGTATGCATTTATCTGAACTATATGTAATAATGGACGCTTCTTAAAGAAACCACATTATTATAAAGGGGAAGCAGTAGCTAATGAGCATAGGAGTTAGGGGTATGGCCTCTGAATTCCAACTTCCTAGACCTTAAATGCTGGAGGTGACACGTGGAAGAGAGGGGAAAAGCCCCGGTCAGACCCAGTTCACTCTCCCTATCAGTATTCTCTCTGCCAGTGTGACACAGGCCTTTTTAATGTACAGAAACTTCATGGCCATGTGCCCACATGGGCATGGTTAAGCCTCCTTCTTGTGCAAGGGGGCTACTGGTTGCATGCCAACTGATTTCTAGGAACAACTTAAAGCAATTATGGGGACGGGGTGAGGGGCAGAGGTTGCTAACAAGTGCTCCAATGGGAGGCACTGAGCTGTGCAACACAGGATGCTGGGCTTGACCCCAACCCAGTAAAAGGATTCTCATGGTAGCGTATTTTGGGGCGGTTACTGGTGGCACAGAGCTACAAGGCACGTTTCCTGAGTGAGGCATGCTGACCTGTACTAGCAGGCCCCGCCTGAGGGGCCCCCCTCGTTTCCCAGGGGCAGATCCAGCAGTCTGCAATGAAATTCCCTGCGTGCCATTCAGTCACAAAAAAGGGGCAGCAGGGGTGATCCACCTAACGCCACCTCAACCCCTACCCCCAGACCTCTCTGCGGCTTGGTGCCAAGTGAGCACCAGGGGCCGTGTGAGCTTGGCTCCCGGCGCCAAACTTCCTTACCACGGCACTGGCACCACAAGGGGGACAGGCGCGCGGCGCTGTGCCAGATGCAGCGGCCTCGTGAGTGGCACCTGCCTTGCACACTCGCCTAGCGCAGGACATCTCAACCCACGGGTGGCGACCCAGAAGCGGTCGCAAGATTATATGGAAGGGACGCGAACAAACTTGAAAAATAGATTCTCCTTTACAGGAGAAAACAGTGGGAACCGGCGGCTTTCCCCTTCCCCCACCGCCGACAGAGCTCCAGCCAGCCCCACACACAGTGTCCGGAGGCGCGGCGCGCACGCCCCTCCGCCCCGGCCTGCGCTCCAATGGGTGACGGCGGGGGGCGGGGACACAGCTCGGGCCTCGACTGCTTTTGCCTGAGCTCAGCAACGCGGGCTCAGCTGGCGCCGCCTAGCTGGTACCGCCAGC